GAACTGCCAATAAAAATAGTAGACAATACTTGAAGCAGAGGTATTTGGAGACGATGGTGAAGTTGGACTAGTCTCCTCAATAACATGGGTGATTTCAACATTTGGCTATCTTCTCCTCATCCTTATCGGCAAAAGTAGGAATTTGAGAAACACTTCTTTAGATGCCTTCCAGGAAACGATGGCAGTTTTTATATTTGGTTCAACTTCTTGGAACCGGCTTCCAACCAAGTCTATAAGCTCACAAGGAAGAACAATAACTAAGCTTTTTGTTGATTACCATTAGCAAAACAGGAGAACTCTTGAAACTATCGTTTAATGTCCATTCAAAACGTCTTGCTTCGAATATCAGTTTCTCAAATATTAATTATTCCAATAGTTTTTACGCTATTTGATTAGCTATTAGATCCTGCCTAATGACAAAAACTTATGTAGATTGAAACTCATTTAACGAAATATGAAAGAATAAGGACCATTATTTTTTTTTTGAAGAAAAGGAAAACTGAAAAAGAATTAAACGAAACTTCTCCTTTCTTCAACATAAGTCTCATTCTCCACCACCATCACTCTGCTTTAAAACAGACATTTAAAAATCAAAAACTAAATAGAAAAAATTGAGGAAATATAAGATCCTGAAAAATCAGTGAACAAACCCAATGCTACTCTTTTTGGGCATAATTCAAAAAGTCAAAATTGAATGATGGGAAAGCTTACACAAATATGTTTTAACTTTGAACCTTTTGTAGCTCTTTCCTCGTCATTCTCTTCTAAGCCAGAATAAAAAATAACTTCTTACAATTACTTTATCCTTCATCATAGAGAATCTCCGAAAATAACTTAAAGAAAACACCAGAGTCCAAGAAATCAAGAAATTAGAATAGGGAAGCATTAAGACGTCAAATATAAAAAGAAAGGTCAGATCGAAAGAAAATAAAAATCAAGAAAATGAAGATCGACCAAATCTAGAACCCTATGTCGATAAATCTAAGAAATTTCTGGAACAAACAAATATTCTTGCGCGCTTAGGGTTATTATTAGGCTTTTTGTCAAAGTAAGAAAAACGTATACCATGCAATTCTCTCAGTAAGAAGAAGAGAGGAATCAGTATGAAGAAGAGAGGAATCAGGGGAGAAAGTGATAGAGAGAGTGAAAGAAAAATTCTTAGATTTTATCAGAGCAAGCATTAGATAGAACGACAGAGTTAAGAAGCACCCTTATAGATTCGGTTCTTTGTCTTCTTCATCATATCGACGTAAATCGACCGCTTCTGGAATACCTGTAATCGGTAGAGTAAAATAGAGTTATGGGATATGAGATTCAGAACATTTTAGCCACTAAAGCCTTAACAAAAAACAAACAAAATCATGATAAAATATGAACCTTTTAGTGCTCGAATAGAAAACAAAAAGAGATCTTACTAACCTTTGTGTGAGCCTCTATTTAAGTAGCAAACTAGCAATGTCGAATGAGGAAGGGTGCGAAAAAGCAGCAACTGATTCAATTTTCTTTTTTACCAATTGGCTGAAATTGAGGAAATATTGGTTCAACCATCGTCATTCTTATCTTTGACTTTTTCAAATGTTGACCAAAACTAAGATTGTAATGCATAAAATGATTGTAAATAATGGAATAACATCTATGCAACTTAAAATTCAGAATACTATATACATATATAGATTATATTATATATATATATATATATATATATTATATATATATATATTCTAATAAAAGAATAACTTTATTATTCTTTTGATATGTGTCACCATATTAGGTCTCTCTATTATGTCTCCGAATTAATCATGCCACTTATCAACCTCTCTTCTCTCTCTCTCTATATATAGTATCTATATATATATATATATATAATATATATATATATATAATATATATATAAGAAAAAACAACAATATAAAATAAGGTTAAAATGGTATTTTTAATGGACTAAGATGTGTTGTGCAATTTCTTTAAACCACAAAATATCGGTAAATGGTCCTGTCTCTCTCTATATCTATTCTATAATATAATATATATATATATAATATAATATCTATCTAAACTAATAATCTAGTATATGGGTCTTCCATAGGGACAAGCCACTTGAACGTCTCTCTCCTTTCTTTATTCTGCTACAAAAATTAAAATATACTATATAGCTATCATATATAATATATATATATATATATATAAATATATAATATATAATATATATATATATATATCTATATAGGGTCCGGTTCGCTGAAGACTTTTTTTAAACTGAGAACTCGTGAGGACACCTTAAAAAAATTGAAAAAAAATCTAAAAAAAAATACAAATCATAAAATCGAGCATAATACTACATCCGGGAGAAAAAAAAATGGAAAAAAAATATTGCATCATTAAAATTGAATCATGGATCATAAAAGTTGAATCATGAATCATAAAAACGATCCATGCTTCAATTTTAATGATCCAAAACTTTTTGTCCAAATATTTTTTTCTCTCTGATATAGTAATATGCTCGATTTATGATTTATATTTTTTTTACAATTTTTTTAAGGTGTCACTACGAGTCCTCACTTTAAAAAGAGTCCTCACACGATCCTGTTTCTCTCTCTCTCTCTCTCTGTGTGTGTGTATATATATTATATATATAGATATATATATATATTATAGAATAGATATTATATATATAACCAAGATCATATAAGAAAAAAAAATTGTAGGAAGGTAAAAAAAAATTATATACATATTTTTAGCAAACAAACAAAATAAATCATTAGATGATTCAAAAGTAAAATGATTCACAAGAAAAAATTCTCAAAAAAACATTTTCATGATTCATTTTTAAGTAGATTAAGAAAATTAATTTTTATGATAATTTTAGTGAATATCAACAAAATCACGGAAAAATGAATCATCAAGGTGTTTTTTCGGGATTTTTTTTGAATCATGTTATTTTCTATTCATCTAATGATTCATTTGTTTTGTTTGCCAAAAAAATATACCGAATAAAAACTTTTTACCTTCTACCAAAATAATTTTTTTAGCGGATTGTTGGTCTCCTCGTGAAAATACTTTGTCTCACTCCCACTATTATCCAAAAATTTCTTTCTTTCTATCATGTTCCACATCGCCCCATTAAAGAAACGGGGGAGAAGAAGATCACTATAAAAAGATTACTTTGACACATTGTTGGAAAACACACACAAAGCTCTTTTAAGTTATGTTCTTCATACTTGGTTTAAACTAAGTTTAAATTGTTTTTAACCAATAATATTTTGTTTCTTTAACTGGTTTTTACAATATTGGTTGGCTATCGAAATTGGGTTTTGGGTTGGAGTTCGGGGAAGATTTTAGCCCCGATGAGGCTCCCAATAAGATATCCATCGAGAATTAGATTGGTTGTCCTGACTCGAACCCGCCCTATTGCCATTTCGAATTTGAACAGGGGGTAACATATATTTTAACAGAATAACAAACATAGTGGATCTGCCAGTTGACTTCCAGTCAATGGTCGATGTGCACCCCACTTGACTTCCGGGCTGGATCCGTCAATGCATATAACAAAGTAAATGAGTAAAATGTTAAACACAAGTTACCATCAATTCGATCTCGACAAGGCTTTGACGATCGTATGAAGCAACCATAATTTTGATGGCCTGCTGCTTAATGGATTATTCTCATCACTAATTGTACGCATGTTTAAATCAAGAACCCTGGTTAGTGGTTACGGCTATTGAATTTAGCTGAAATATAAGTATTAAATATTGGATTCTTGTTGAAATTGATGGCCAATAGTGTACATACATTATGGTGTCAACTAGAATCATTTTTTGGTAACACTAGAATACAACAAAACATATGATTTTTGGATGAATTACAACAGCTGGAGTCACATGCTGATTAATATATTGTATGTGTCACAGGTGTGTGAGAAGCCATGACATAAACATGGGCACATGCCCAATTGGTATAAGGGAAAATGACTTACAAGCCCAATGAAGTTTCCAAACCGTTCAGAAAAACTCAATCATGTTTTGTCTGTTTAAAAAACCCAACAAACTTAACCTTTTGTCTAAAAAAGTCCAACGAAGTTTCCAAACCGTTTAAAAAACCCCAATAATGTTTTGTCTGTTCAAAATGTTAAGTTCGTTGGGTTTTTTGAACAGACAAAACATGATTGTGGTTTTTTGAATGGTTTGGAAACTTCGTTGGTCTTACAAGTCATTTTTCCCAATATGGTAATAAGCCACGTAATCTGTTTCTCTTCTTTGACTTCCATAGAATTAAACAAAAGTGTAACTAAGTTGGGATTTTTTAAACAAAAGATTAAGTTTGTTGGGTTTTCTTGAACAGACAAAACATGATTGAAGTTTTTTGAACGGTTTGGAAACTTTGTTGGGCTCGTAAGTCATTTTTCCTTGGTATAAAATACCAGGGAAGTGCACCGTTATATGGGATGGTAAATGTAAATCAAGTCGTGGGCCTATGAGGGATTTATTTATTTGATTAAAGCAGATTTTTGGTCTCACATGCATCCTATATGGAAAATCTTTGCATTCAAGATAACGATGTAAAGAGTCAATATACTCCCTCCGTCCCAAAATTATTGTCCACAGACAAAAAAAAAACGCACAGATTAAGAAAACATTAATTACGACTAACTTTATAAAATGAAAAGATAGTTTTACTCCTTTGTTGCATTTAATTCCATTGTAATTGCATTTAATTCCATGATAGTTTAACTAATAAATTGAGGGGTATTTTGGTAAAAATGATATTTATTTTTAAAAGTAGGCTATTATTTTGAGACAAACCAAAAAGAAAACATAGAGTATTAATATGGGCCGGAGGGAGTACTTTTTTTTGTCTTCCCAGCCACAAGCCTCTGGCTGAAATTGCCTTCCGAAACCAAAAGCATTAAATGTCACATTTTTGTGTCTCGTCGTATAGAATCAAACAAAACCGTTATTATAACAAATATTGAATTATATTACAATTATTTAGAATCGTTGATCTTACAACAATTTAAATATTTTCGAAGTACATCTTGAAATGAAAGGGATCCTAAACGGAAAACAACGATAGTTAGAATTAGATTTTGCATTGTAAAGATGATTGTTGGACCGAAAGAGGTAGCTAGAACCATATGTGGAGTGAATTACGTCTTTTAAGAGACGATATTGTAGTGCAGCGAACAGAAGTACTGGTGTGGTAGCAATCACAGTGATAAGAATTGGTATCCATTTAAGATGTTCACGGTATAGCACAAAGAAGGTAACACTAAAAGCAATCATCATGGTTGTTATTGAGAGGTAAAGTGTTGCTAGACCCAACATCAGTTTTCTAGGTAATGATTCCAAGAAATCGTCTTCCGCATAACGAGAAGTGAGAATGGATAAGAATGTGAGTATTGAAGCTGATGATGAGAACAAAGATATGGCATCTGCCACCACGAAAATCAAAAAGCTTACGTTTCTGCGGAAGAAAGGGATACCATTGGTCTGATCGTATCCACCTGGAACTGTAAAAGCTGCAGCAAATACAATGGTGGCAATAAGCGCCGCTACCACCATACATTGACTAGCTGTTCCTTTCATCCATTCCTCACCTTTTACAACTAGATCTTGGTGCTCCTTGGTGAATATCTCACGTGGTGTTAGTCCATCTTTGTTCTTCCGTTCCCGATAAGAAGGTAGGACCATTTTCTCTACTTCCTACAAAATATATAGAATTATAAATCGAGTAGATCAATTTGATTGAGGTGTCAAACTATTCATGCCAATCGCAAAGAACACATGTTTATGGCTGATTATCCTCTTAACAACATACGCTGGATATAGAAAAGAAAATTAGTTTACTTACATGAAGCCCATGACACCACCATAATATAAAAACAAATAAAAATTAATAATAAATTTATTATCATAAAAGGTGAGAAATTTCATAGCCCCCAAAGTTATACATATATTCGCCATGCATGAGAACAAGTGATTGCAAACAAACATCAGTCGATTGTATCTTAAATTCTTTCCTACAAGTGCCTCTAGGTAACTTATTTTACATCAATGAAAGATAGCCTGTAAGTGTGGGGAGGAAATGATGAATATGTACCTTGAACCATAGTAGTTCACGTTGCATCTGAAACGCACCTCCAGACACATCCTCAAGTCGCTTTCTCTCCACACTCCTCGCAACCAAATGCAACATATTGTCCTCGTTTAGATCTTTGAGAGGAGTAATCATATCCTTATTTAAACCTATCTCATGCAATAGGTTGTAGATATCCGCTTGACGATGTCTGGCAGCAACATGGAATATACTTTGATTGTTATCATTTACTTTCCACGCTAGATCAGGATATAAACGTATGAGCTCAACTACGAATCTCGTATTGCCCACCTCTGTGGCAACAAACAGTACTCGAGAAGAGTACTTTTTACGTACATTTCCTGCTAGACCTTCAAGATTTCTTGCAACTGGTCCTTTGATTATGTTACGTATTTCAACAGGTATATTGACAATATTATCAGATATGAGTTTTAGTAGTTGCAGAGCTTCATCTATCTTGTCAAAAGCTGGTTTTTCATATCGTTTAACGGGAGGATCAGGGGGGCCCCTGAGTATGGTATCAATTTCTTCCCTAGGCTTCTCAGCAATATAACACCAAATGGTTTTTAGTATCTCCAATGCTTTTGCTTTACTTTCCTTTTCATGAGCTTGCATCTTCGTACATATGACTGTAAAAATTCAAAGCAACAACCAGAAAAGAAGGCAAAATGAAAATACATGTCAGATATTTAATAAGTAAAAATTGATAGATGATAATAATAGGAGATGGAAGATGTATAATCAACGTCAAGGAATAGAGATTCTTACCCCATTTTATGGTTCTCATGATGATATTAGATTTTATTTCAGCAAATGCATCAGTCTTTCGAGCCAAAGCTGCAAGTACAATCCCACTGCTACTAAGTTCTTCATGCTCTCGCAGTATGTCTAGTGCGATATCTAAAAGAGATCTAACAATCACTATGTTGGGGAATTTCTATGGCCAAAGCAACAATAATCATCAACAAAACAACAACGATGTCTACCAACTAATTTTTGTTGGTATAATTCTCAATAAGGGTTTTTAGGCATAAGGGTATGTTTCTAAACTTTCCATATTTCCCGGTAATTGTGTTTTAGCATGACTCCTTTTTCCATTTAGTATAAATAGGGTAATCGTTTGATGCTTTACATTAATTTTTAGTTTCAATTTGTCAATAAAACCTTGGATACCAAGTAATTTGTTTTCCTTCCCATTTTCTCCTTTTTTCCCTTGTTCTTCCCGTGTTGCTTTTTTGTTCTTCATGCCACACACCTAAACCTTGTGCACCAAGGTAATTTTCAAGTTTATTTGATGTCATTTGGTATCAATGCTAACCATGTTTATAGAATAAATAGTACAATCTCGATATGGAAGGCTAAAAGAAAGAACCATGATTGTTCCATTACCCAATGTTAGCAAGAAGTAACTATGCCGCTTGGGACATCAAGATGAGGGTTTTTATGCTGGCTTAAGATGTGTGACAACAGACAAGCGATTAAGCAAAGAACCCTCAGAATGTCATGAGTGTCAACATGGATAACATGGCAATGGATGTCATCTACCCAACTATCCTGAAGATATTCTGTTGTTTCCTGACAGATAAGCAGACAACAAAAGAAGCTTGGGACACATTTAAAGTCATATACATGGGCGCTCGTCATGTAAGGCTGAGTTTGAGATCTTGAAGATTAAGGAAAAAGAGACAAAATGAGTTCTCCACAAAGATCAACAACATAGTAAGTAACATTCGAACATTGGGAGACATGATGGAAGAGGCTTACATTGTCAAGAAATACTAGGGGCAGTACTGTCTAGATTCTTACATATTTGCTTCAACCATTGAACGGTTTGTAGATCTAGATGTAGGATTAATGTCCTCGTAACCAGAAATACTAGGGGCAGTACTGTCTAGATTCTTACATATTTGCTTCAACCATTGAACGGTTTTTAGTTAAAAGCAAAGTCATTTTTGGATTGTCCTCATAACCAGAAATAGTTAAGAAATGATATTAGGAAAGAAAGGAAATGATTTGTTAATATATTATATGATTAATATATTAATTAGAAATACATAATTGATTTGTTAATTTATTATGTGATTAATGGATTAATATGAGATCAATAGTTAAACAATTGATTTGTTAATTTATATAATTAATAAATTAATAAGAAATCAATAAAAATTAATTAATTATTAATCAAAATTAATTTATAATTAATTGGAATTAATTAAAGGTGCAACAGATGGATTGTAATTGTTTAATAGTAGAACAAAATAAGCAATTTTAGAACCATCCATGGTATGAACGGTTTTGGAGGAGGTTCTAAGGTTTTTAGAAGCCTCCTGGTCTAGAAGTTTCCTGGTTGTAGATAAGAAAATTTTTTGAACTGAGATTAAATATATTATATTATTAATTAAAATTTGGATTCATCTCCAAATTGCCTAAACTATAAATAGGACTCTTTGCTTGCAAATTTCGGGCATAACATTCCTAAGAGACATATAAACGAAATTTCTTCATCCTTCTCTCTCTCCTCTTTATTATCGGGTTTCTAAGGTTTTAGGTGTGAACTATTAGATGTATTATACTTTTAGTGCTTGCTTTTTGAAAACTAAAAGGAAAGGTTTCAAAGAATTGTTTGCTATAAATATTCCAAATGTATGTAACCCTAATCTCATAAATTTTGATTATGATCTAGGATTCTTATACCAGTTCATTGTATGTTGCTATTAATTGTAAAGACATAACATAGATTGGAATGACGTCAGACCCAAATGAGGGATTTTTTGGGAGGAAAGAAGGTGATAAATTTTGAATTAGGGGAAATGTTGGTATAAATCAGAGTAAGGGCTTTTTAGGCATAAGGGTATTTTTGGGAAGTTTCCATATTTCCCAGTAATTGTTTTGAAGGGTGACTCCTTTCTATTAGTACAGTGTTTAAAAGGGTTAGTATCTGATTGCTCCTTATCCACTAAGCCTATGTAAAACTTTTATCATGTTGATTACTTATCTAAACGTGAAGATGAGTAATAACAAAATAAATAAATAAATTAAAAAAAAAAACATTATGTTTTTAGTTTCAAGTCCTCAATAAAAACCTTGCATGCCAAGTAATTTGTTTTCCTTCCCTTGTTCTGTCCCTGTTTCTTTGTTCATCCCTTCAAAGGCTTAAACCTTGTTCACCAAGGTAATTTGGAGGTTGATTTGATTAAAACTTGACCAGTTATCCAAATTGGTACAATTTACTAATTAAACAACAAACAAAATATGTAGCTGTAATAGTAACATGCTAGAACGCTTACCAAACATATCATTCTCAACACATTTCTGAAGAAGCCAACCACGGTTCTGAGGTGTCCAATAATCATCATACAACTTATCGGAATTTTTGTACAGATACTTCACCACCTCAGAATGTCCAAACAGGGCAGCCATATATAGTGGCGTCATTCCTCCACTACCAGTGATTGCCACCAAGGCCCTGCACTTTTTAACCATAAGCTCAACCATTTTAACATTGCCAACTGCAGCGGCTAAACAAAGGGCAGTGTTGGAACTGTTATTTTTAAGTTCGAGGTCCTCCTTTTCCATCTTAGTCATTAGATTTTCCACGAACTGTTCAGCCTGTTTGGTGCTTTTTGTGGATGCAGCGACATGAAGTGCTGTTTCATTATTTCCAGTCACACTATACCTTACCAACTCTGGCCTTTTATCAAGAATCTCTTTAGCAGCTTTCCAATCACCTCTAATAGATGCTTCATATAGAGGGATAGCAATTTTCATGTTCTCTTTACTAGTTCCTTTAAAACAATTCCAATGCAAAGTTAGCACAAATTCATCCAGGGACAATATTTGTAATATTCTGTAACTTTTCACCATGATTAAGCATCAATTCTAGTGCATACAGCCACTTTGAATACTTCAATTTGGTTTAACACACTGAAATCGAGGGTTTTATGTGTTGGTGTCTTTGAATATTAAAACTAACATATTAGATATGACAACCGAAAAATGAAAATCAGTTCCATCTTAATGTAGACTTTCTAGGAAAGAGTAATGCATTTCATGTGGAATTTCTACAAGGAAACGAAGCACTTTTCAAACAAGTCGAATGTAATATAACTTACTCTTGTAATTAAGTTTCCCGAAGGAGACTAGTGGAAACAGAAACGGAAAGGTAGCCAGGTAGGTATAAAGTATAAACACTTATTTCGTCCATCCGCAAGAATGGAGCACTAATGCAAAGGAATCATCTTCTTTGTATGAAATGTGGTGTAAACTAGCAGTACATGAAGTAAAGAGTAAAATGGCTAGCAGAATTTACCATTAAGTAGATCTGGAATAGGTTTTGAGCGACCTTGAGAAGCAACTGAAATTCTGATATCCTGCTGCTGCTCATGGGTTAAGGACTTCTGCTCATCGATTGAGGCTAACTGCACACCTGTTTGCGCCATCTGCACAGGGACATCATTGATGATTATAACTCTAATAATTGCTTGACGCCATGACTAGAAAATCAGAGGATTTGGTGCAACTGACAGTACCTCTGCGTCAGCAAGCGATTATTACGTTTGAATGAATGAGTTTTAAAAAAGACATGAGATTGATTATTTGAACATGCATGCTATGATTTATATACACCTAATACCTCCCTTGCTTAAGTCAACGTCGTAAGTCTTTAAAAGTTCAATTTTTCTGCCAATCAATAAATTATAATTAGCGACAACTTGCAGTTGTTCAAAAAAATAAAATAATAACGACAACTGTTAATAGTCAAAAAAAAAAAAAAAAAAATTCAAAAATGTTTCCATAATTTTATTAATAAATATAACATCTATCATCTATCACCATTCACGAGAAAAATTATATAAAATAAAAAATGATAAATTTCTTACATTAAGTATAGAAAACTATATCTTGTATACAAATGTATAAAAGTTGAGTCAATGTTCCTTCAACCAACTATTTTAATTTTGATAAATTGGATATCAAATTATTTTTCAATTTCAAAAATCATTAAAATTAAGGGTAGAATTGGTACGGTACGAGACATTTTTTTTCCAAACCGTATATACTGTATCAATTATAGTTGGTATGTAATTTTAGTACCATATCAAATATAGTTAGTACAAACTTAATTGGTTACTGGTAAGTTCGGTTGGTACATTTTGATAATGATATATACCAAGATGTATGAATGTTTTGCGAATTAAGATTTATGTGTTATTGTGCACTTAAAGCATACATGTGAGTTTTATAAATAAGATTTTTGTGAATGGTAGGATTGAAAATTCGATCCAAAAAGATTTTATAATTTTGTACCTTGAGTTTAAACTTAACAATGGAGTAAATTGGATACGTTATAGTTAAAATATGAGTTTAAACTTTAAACATTACTAGAGGTAAATGTTAATATCAAAGCTCTTGAACTCTTAACCGTTAATACATTTAAAGCTAAAATATACAATCATATATATATATATATATATATATATATATATATATATATATATATATATAATATATATATATATATATATATGAAAAATGAATTGGTTGGTACGGTAATACCGTGGTATTTAAAACCTTGTATCATTGTTAATTAATTGGTATGGTACTACCAGCCAAACATACTGGCTACCAAGCATACTGGCTACCAACATAATTGGTTCGGTTGATACACATGTTGCTTGGTTTTCCATGGTACATATTTGTCACCCCTAATTAAAATTAGCACAACCTGTTATTTTGTCACATCATATCTGGAACTTTTAATATCTGGTCGCCAACTTGTTTGTAATCTAACTCGTTGTACGATGATAATTAAGATATATTGAAATCCAAAAAGTTAGATTTCTATTCGTAATCCAATAAAAAAGTTTAGTCAGATGCTAGACAAAATTACAAGAGAATAGACCCATATTTAGAGCTAATGATGGGTATGTTTGCGGATTAATGCATAAAAATCCTTAAGTTTTCAGGAAATATTTGGTTTAATTTTTGCAATGATCTCATTTTAGAGGGTTTCTCGGTTAACTTCCGGTTACATGGACAACTGGCGCGCCACGTTAGCGTTGATTGTGCATTTTTGGCTAATCTAGCATTATGTTGTCCTTTTCTTAAAAACAGGCAAGAATGTGATGACATGACGAAAGAGGAATATGTTGTTTAATTTTTGCAATTAAGCCCTTTTAGGGGTTTTCCGGTGAACTTCCTGACTACATGAATGGACAGGGGCGCGCCACCTCAGTGTTGATAATGCATTTTTGGCTGACGTGGTAGTGTGTTGTCATTTGCTTAAAAATAAGTAGAATGTTACGAAATGACGATAGAGGGATTCGAAGCCTCGCCAACCGCAACCCTAACCATCAACTCTACTACTAGGCTGGGATACTCTTTGTGTACTTAAATTCGTTCTTTAAACTAGAATACTATATGAATCCTCGTGCGTTGCACAAGAATTTAATTCCATAACTTAAATATTAGAAATATATGTCATTTAAAAATAAGTTAAGGGCATTCGGTTCTTAGGATATGCATTACACTTTGATATATTTTTAATGTCTCTTGCAAAAATGGTGTTCGTGATTTGGATATGACAAAATATTCTATGATGTTTACTGAAGATATTATTTTGGATTGTTTGGTTGCCATTTGGGATCAAATTTATTATAAATCAAGTTTATAGCTCGAATTTGTCTTTATTATTGGATATAGGATTTGATTTTTGTATTTAGTTAAAATATGTTATCACCTTCAGGTATATTGAGAATTTGATTGTTGATGTTTGTGTTCGTATGTATTAGTTGTAAAAAAGTATACTATAAAAAGAAATTTAAAGAATTATGTTATAATTAGTCTTTAATGATCTTATGTCAATGGCGGATCCATGATCAAAGTAAAGGAGTATCACCGACAAAAAAATCGCATAATACACAATAAGAAAAAAAAAAGCCAGAAAAAATTACACTACTAAATTTTTTTAGGGGTATTCCGGGCTACCCGCGATACATAGTAAATCCGCCATTGCCTTATGTATGATTTATTTAGGTAAAATTAGATTTTAAATAATGTTGAACATGGATAGCTGGTTAACTAGTCTAGTTGGTAAATAATTTTGGATAAATAAAAAATTCCTTAATTATTTCAACAAGTTGTTTTTAGAAATTTCATTTTTTAAAAATTTAATAAAATAAATAATACATGAATATATCGAGTGATTTATGAAATAGATCCATTCATATGTTCATATTAATATTTATAAAATACTAATGAAAAAAATATATGTAATTTTGCGTTGAATTTAGTTTTTCTAAAAATAAAACATTTTCAAATATTAACTAACGCATGATTGAATATTTACTTTAGAATGTTGGATACTTCACAATTTTACATTTCATATATTTAAATTGAAATATTTTATAAGATTCATCGTCAACTTTTGTATTTTTGTCCATATTATGATTATATTGTAAAGTCACTAAAGGCAAATAATATTTTGATATATATATATATATATATATATATATATATATATATATATATATATATATGTTTTACTATTTATTATATAATACCTATAAAAGAAAATATGTCTAGGTAGAAAGTTTTACCTGTTTTGCTCTTATCTCAATTTAATAAAGTAATTAAAAATCATTGTTAGAAAGCATTTAAAATTTATTGAGTTTCAATAGTAAAACCGAGAAAATCGTTAGTATATTAAGTATTTTTCTATGATTCAACATAAATATATATCTTGAACCACATTAATATATAGTTAATTGTATTGAAGTTTTAATTTAATATTACAACTCTTTAAATTTTAAGCAAATGTTATTTAGCATTAAACCACTATATTTAATTTATAAGTAAATTGATACTTATAAGTTTTAGTTAAATATAATTTTAATAGTTAACTTGTCTTTAGTCAATTAAATGAATAATATGACTATCTAATCTCTGGATAAAAAAAACTATGTAAAAATCCTCAAAACTTACATTAGGAACTAATGTATAATTGTCAAATATGTTGTGTATTATTTATATAAAATAATGAATTATTATATTCAACCATACTAATAATTAAATAATTAAATGACATTTCTAAACTAAAAATGATGGTTTACGCATTTTAGTTGACAATCCATTGCCTTTTTTTTTTTGTGTATTTTACTCGAATGTTTTGAATCTTTTTATTCAAAAACGTCTTGCTAATGTGCCAAAACTTCTATTACCATCAATATTTTAATCAAAATCATATATAAATAATAAGGTGTTAATACATTAATATTACAAATATTAAATTCCAAGTAAAAATTATCTAGAATTAAACCGATAGAACTTTAAAGTTTTCTTTTTTTCCTAATGATACTTAATAAATATTTATGAGACTTTATTAAATACTTAATTTGTGTTCGTTCAATTAAATAAATAATATAATCATCTAATATCCAGATAAAAAATTATATAAAAAGCTTCAACCGATTATTAAAAACATAATATTTTGTGTATATTATTCATATAAAATAAATTGTATAAGTCTATGAGTTGTTATATAAATACATTCTATTTTAAGTCTAAAAATAAATAAAAATATTGATTTGTTATCAACTTAGCTGCATTAATAATTAAATTATGTATTCATATAAAAAATGTTGGTTTAAACTATTTATTTCACAACTCATTGCCATTTTTTTTCTATTATATTTTACTTCAATGTTTTTTTCATTTCCTTTCTCAAAAGCTGATGAGTTTTATAGGTTACAAAACAAATGTGCTTGCGAAAGTTCACTAAACACTTAAAGGCACATGAAACCTAAAGGTTCTATGTCATATACTTTGAATGCAGCATACTATGAACAACAAAACTCGATAAACCAAATATAATAAAAATATAATACAAGAATTATGGTTACATACCTTTGATTTATTATAGTAAACAAATGATCGCTTCAATCCTTCTTATGAAGAACTTGGAATGCTAGCACTAAAATGATGATGACTCTAATGGCTCATACCCAAACCCTAAAACTATAAGACAATTAAGGAGAGAGGAGATAAGTATAATTTGTGTTCATATGCCTCTAGGAAAGAGTATGCATGAATTTAAGTGCCCCTAGGGTCCTATTTATAGTTTAGGTAACTTAGGGATAAAACAAGATTTGAATGGATTTAATCATAAGCCAAATCCTTTCATTACATGCATTCAAGAAGCTTTTGGAAACCCTAAGGAGCCTCCCGAAACCATCCTTCCTTGGATGGTTCTAGAATTGTCTCTTTGGTTCAACTATTAAACAATTACAATTCACCCCTTGCACTTTTAATTAATTCCAATTAATCCCGAATTAATTCTAGATTAATTCTGATTAATAATTAATTACTTCTAAATGATTTCATATTAATTTATTAATCATATAAATTAACAAATCTGTTAGTTAACAATTGATCTCATATCAATTTATTAATCACATAATAAATTAACAAATTAACTATCTATTTCCAATTAATATATTAATCATATGATATATTAACAAATTATTTATTACAATTTATTAATCATATAATAAACTAATAAATTTATCCTCTCTCTACAAAT